TTTACAAAATATCACAGTTTTTGTCTTGGTTGTATCATTTTATTTTGTTGTTTTTATCCGCGATACCGAAGGCCGGTCCGTGAAAATATTGCCTGACATTAAACCGGTCCGTGGCGTAAAAAAGCTTGGGGACCGCTGTTGTAGTTGAATCGCCACAGCAGCTAAATTTCAGGTCTAAGTTGATCTTTGTGGCACGACTTTAAACCAAAGGGTTTGTGGTGTGCTCGCTCTTCTCCTCTGGTTACATGCAGTTGTTTTGATAGCAATAAGTAAAACCCTAAATAACTCTGAAACAGTCAGTGCAGCAGCAAGAAATCAGAGCAACTAAACAAATACTCCAACCTGATGTCTTCTCCAAGATTTAGAAACAAAAGGGGGCTTCCTTAAAAACAACACATGTACTACACAATATACAGAATGTATCAAAAAGAATCATCTGATTTCAGCGTGCTTTAAATGCACAGCCATTCACCGGTAACGATCAAAATCTGTATTCTTAGAAAGTGAGGATTTCACTTGGTTGCCCATAGGTAACGTAACAGCAGTGGTGGCTACAGTGATTCCAGACATGCAGAAGTATGGGAAGAGTTTGATTATCATATGGATATGTGCCGTGTGTCTTTCATATGCAAAACTTTATAATCACCCATGTTTTTTTTGTTTTTGTTTTTTTTTAATTTACCACAAACTTTAAAAAAAAATTGATAGCCTTTTAAATTAGATTGTTTAATTCTTTCTTTATTGACACCCTAAAATATTTCTTGATATTTATTTATTTAACAGACATCCCATTAAATAAAGATACATTTATTGGGCAATAATAAAGACTGTAATTCATTCTTCACCTCTCCTTATCAACGCAGCCTGTCATCCTCGGGATGTTTTTAAAACCTTGCTGCTTCAAGGGCACAGGAAGGATTTCTGTTCGCAGCTGTTCAATTAAATTGCTCTGGACAAAATTCTCAACCAAATTAATTCTGTAGCTTTTAATCACTTTGTTTTTCAGAGTAATCAGTTATGTTTAACCTTTAGCAAACAGGAGTCTGCGAACGTGCTGTCAGTCAGTTATAAAACAGCCACAAATTAGTAAACAGGACATCTCTACAGCTTAAACAGAAGGCAGCAGCTGCACCTCATAGTCATGCAAAGCATCTCAATCTGCCTGAAAAGTCGCACCTTATTTCTTACTTGATACAGAGCAGCTGATAAAAGTGTTTCAGGGACGATTTTATCACGTTGTACTGAGTGTATGACAGACAAAGAAAATGTGTTGATCTTGTCCGTGTGTTCCAGGAGGGATGGCGGTTTGACAGGGTTACTGAATGAAATCACCAACTCCCACCCACAGGGTACGTGATGCCCCAAAATCTCATGTTTTGTTTTAGCACATACATCCCTAAACCTGCGCACACAGTAATGCGCAAACACGGTGACTCTCCTGTTGTTTGCGATTTTGCAGTGCCCAAATGGTTTTCAATGAGTTCTGGTTGTATCCTGGCATTGCTCCGATGGGTCTCTTCTTTTCATGGCTCCCTGTTTCCTCATCTCACAGTAAGTTCTCTCTGCTCGTTAATTATCTTCCACTTGATTGTCAGTCGCTTTTGGGTTCAGATTCAAGTGTTTTTATTTAATTATATTTTAATAGTTGAGCAGTGAAGACATGATTGCTGAATTTTCACAAGTGCTGAACTGGTAAGCGCCAACTTGGTGAACTGTTAATTTTTCTCATAGTTAAAGCATTCAGTTATGTTTTTTTT